TTGCTTATGTCATTTTTCATATATTTTTAAGTGAAGGTCTAATTTCAGAAGAAATTTATATTTACAGAAAAGCTGCAAAGTTGACAGATAATTTCTGCATCCTCTACATGCAGTTTCCTTTGTTTTTGACCTCTTACTTTGGTGTGGTCTTTTTGTTTTGCATGGGAGACAGATGTTGACAGATTATATTTAATTGAAGTTTATAGAACATTCAAATTTCCTTGGTCTTCTCCTGATGTCTTGTTTGGTTGCAGGATACCACAACACACTTAGGATCCTATTTCCTCAGGATTCTCTTGGCTGTGGTAATTGCTCAGGTTTTCCTTGTGATGGACTTTGGATGCCTTGACAATTTTGACTACTGCCTGCCTGGTACTTGTGAATTAAATATCTCAAAGGATACTTACCCAGTGATCCTTTTGTGATTAAACTGATGTTGTGATTGTGAGTAAAGAAGGCCTCAAAGGCAAAGGCAAGGGTTCTCAGCACACCACATGGCCCTGCATCCTCGCCAGCAAGAGATAGTGCCAGTTTTGTTTACTTGTTTGTTTTGTATTTTAGGCATTCTAATAGGTTTAGTGGGACCTTACTACAGTTCCAGTTTGCATTTCCTCCATGACAAATGATACTGAGTCTTATTTCACATGGTTTTTGTAATCCATTTTCTCTTTCTTATGAACTGTCTATTCAGATCCTTTTCCAAATTTTAATTTGGGTGTTTGCTATTATTGAGATTTAAGAGATGTTTTATATCCCATATACAAGTCACCCTTCCATTTCTGGAAATACCTGACACCCACAACTTAAAGGAAAAAGGGTTTACTTTTGTTCATGGTTTCAAAGGGTTCAGTCCATGCAGTTGGCTCCCAGGCAGGAGCATCATGGTGAGAGGAGGTGGTAGAGGAAAGCTGCTCATCTCATGGTGACCTGGAAGCAAAAGGAGCCAAGGAAGAATTAAAAGAAGAAAGGGCTAAGGATCAACGAGAGTCCCCATGGTCATACTCCCATGGCCCACTCAGACATACCCAAAAGTGTGTTCCACTGATCTCAGCATCTCTCAAACCAATCAGGTTGACAACTAAGATTACCCATCATGCATATCTTTAATTAAATGTGTTTTCAATATATTTTTTTACCTCATAGCTAGTCTGCCTACTCTCTTAACAATGTTTTTTATGAGGAAGAAGTGTTAATTTTAATAATATCTAACAAAATTTTCTTTCATTTATAGACTGTGCTTTTGATATGGTAACTCAAATTATAACTGACTTTTTCCTGTGTTTTCTTCTAGAAATGTTGCATTTTGCATTTATGTCTACTATTCTGTTTGAGATATTTTTGTGAGTTTAGCAATGTGTATATAAAGGTTTATTAATTTACATATGGCATTCAGATGGTCAAGATGCTATTTGTTGAAATACTGTCCTTTTTTACTGAGTTGTCTTCCTGCCTTTTTCTCTTCATGTATATATGATTATGCATGTGGAATATATTCTAAAATCTCTTGAAGCAAGAATAATAGATTTAGACCAGTTTTATTATTTAACAAGCAACATTTTGCTTCAGCAATGGTCCAAACATTGAGCAAGTATACACCCAGCTTTTATATGTATTTTTACTGTGCTGTATTCACTAAACCTTCCCAAAGGCAACTTTCTTTTCTTTTCTTTTTTTTTTTTTTTTTTTTTTTTTTTTTGGTACCAGGGATTGAACTCGGGTCCTTGTGTTTGCAAGGCAGGCCACCGAACCGCTGAGCTAAATCCCTGGCCCGGCAACTTTCTAAATTGATGGGCACAAAGGTAGGTATTTGAATTATTTTTAGTTTTGAACAAGACTACTCAAATGCTACGCAAAGCTAAATAGTACATCATGAACACAGAATTAATTTTAAAAATTGAAACATTGTAAGTTTTATAACAGATACACAGGGTGATTAGAACCATAAAATGTGTGCATTCTGGTACAGGGTATCTCTTTCTCTACCCAGATTAATCCAGGTCAGTGACGGCAAAGCTTCTATCACCCTCAGTGGTGTAAACAGCTCCCACAGCACTCATCCTACAGGTTCACCACATTGAGAATGAAAGCTAAACTTGGGGTTCAGTGTAGAGATGTTCAGGGAGAGGAAACACCCTGATTGCTCAAAGCATAGTTCTTACAGACTTCAAAGAGGAACAGGAAATTAAATGTGTCCATTAAAGAGATGAGGCTAATGAGTGGGAAGAATCTGGGTGTGAATGTCCCCACAAGCCATTCTAATTTATTCTAAAGACAATATTGACATAGTAACAATATCTGTCTGCAGTCTTGGAGATGCTGGGTGCTACAGAGCAAAAGATATGAGTGAAGCAAGAGTAAAAATTGACAGATGTGTTAAAAGGCCCTGTGGTAATCCAGGCATGAGATCATACTTACTTGGTATAGAATGTAAGGACTGAAATTCAAGTAGTAGTAGTGGAATAAATCAAGAGGACTTACTGACTCATTGAAAACACAGAAAGGAAAAGAATGAAGATAACTTGAATCTCTCTTAAGTACAGAATGCTTTTCAATAGAATGCAATGTCCGAGCTGGCCAACAGCAAAATAAGCACAGTGGGGAGAGAAGATGAGAAGGTGAGTGCTGAGTCTGGTGGTGGAGAAAGGGATCTCAGTCATCAACTGGCCCTGAGTCACAGAAGAAAAGAGCTGGGCTGGAGATCTGAGTCTAGCTGGGTTTGTAGATCAGTGGTAGAGCACCAAACTAGCAAGGACTGGGTCCACCTCCAAGCCACAAAGAAGAAAGAGAACATGGCCTGACAGTTGTCAGCAATGTAACTGAAATCAACATGGCCAGACTGTGATGGATCAAGTGAAATGTGGATGGAAGGTGGTGAAGGAGAGCTCCTGGTAGACCAGGGACGATGCAGACTGCCCTCCGAAAGTCATGCCAACCATTGGCACTGCAGCCCTTTGCTCCACTCTGAATTCATTCTTACTCCACTAGTGGGGAATTTTTGTGAACAGAACTTCTCAGTGGAGTCCAATTTATTAACCTTCTCTTTGTGAGTAGTAATTTTTGTACCATGTTGAAGTAATCTTTCTCTATGCCAAAAATCAAGTATTTTCTCCAGTATTAGTCTCTATAAACACAGTTTCTGTATTCTCATTTAGATAGTAATCAGCCTGAATCGTACTCCATAGAATATATATAAGGAATTATGTTTTCACGTAGACATCCTATTGACCATCATTAATAAAAAGATCTTTCTATGCATTGTATGCTTCAAGTCTCATTTTGTCTCATTTAAAAGTTGACGTACACATGGGAGATTTCTAGAGTGTATTTTAGTATCAGTCCATTTACCCAAGCTCATGGTGACATTGCAATGTCTGAACGAGTCCTTATGTTAAATATGGATAAGAAAGAGATCAAGTCTTTGGAGCCTCCACTGCTGGAATGTTTGTGATGTCTGTGCTCCCAAGTTCAATGAATGTGGAAATCCCTTCACTGTTTGCTTATAAATTCTGAAAATTTATGTTTGAATTTCATATTTTCTACATATATAATCATGTTAAGTGCAGATATTGACAGGAAAATAACCTATTGAAATCTTAGGTAATTTATTTATTTTTCTTGATCTAATGCATTAGCAAGCTACCTCTAGAGCAATGTTGAACGCTAGGGTGGGTTGTGGAAATGAGTCATACATTTTACTGTTAAATATATTCAGTATTGCTATTTAATCAATGTCCTTTGTGATAATAAGGAAATTCGGTCATAGTCCTATGAGATTTTGTAATAATTGCACATAGATATTTAATTTTCTTACACTTTATAAGTTTCTCAAAGTGGCTCACTAAATGAGATTCAGGATTCAACATGTGCTACCTTAGAAGTAGAAAGTGGCTGTAAGCATTTGCTTGGCTGGGTGACTGAAACTTGGACTAAACATGATCTACATTTGCTGAGATCAAAATGAAGAAGTTCCACTTTATACTGTGGAGGAGACACTCGCAGAGTTGGGAATGCAGAAGTGTTGCCAGAAGTTGCCATGTGAAGCAGGCAGACCCTCCTGCTCTCCCCGGGAGGGCTAAGAAAACACCCAGTCCCTCAGCACTCAGAATCTAAGATGCTTCTGGGGACCACCTCCAGCTCCAGGAGGCAGAACTGTGCTGCTAGCTGTGTGGTCATGGGCACCTTTGGTGACAGGCTGATTATCTGGTGGTGGTAGTTAAATAGCCACAGACAGAGACTTAGAACCTGGACTGGGAGTGTAGCTCAGGGGTAAACCTCTTGCCTAGTGTGTGGGAGCTCCTGGGTTCAGTCTCCAGCATGATGCATGCATACATACATACATACATACATACATGTAATTTCCCAAAGGAATCCATGCAATCAGAGGTGTTTCCTATGCAAGCATCTCTGGCTGTAACACTCTATGCTGACCCTAGATGCTAAAAGGATGACTGTGCTTCCTAGGTGTTTCCCAAAGTGTATCCAAGTGAGAGGAACAAGCACACATACCAGTCCCCTCATGCTCTCCCCAGATATGAGTCAAATCATAAATGGGGCCTGCAGGCTGGATCTCCACAGAATTACTACTCCAGACTACTCCTGTGCCTGGCTTCTTCTGCACATATCATTCACACAGTCTCAAAGCCCTACCGTATTTCTTATTCCATCTTCTTGATTTGACTCACTCTGGTCTGTCTCTCAAATGTCATTTGTATGCCTCTAACATCAAAGTATTTTAATCTAGCAAAAGACCCCTTTCCTGGAGCCTTGCGTGGGTCCCATGAAGAAGTCATCCCCACACATGCCTGGGACTGAAAGTGCCACACTGCTCACCGGGGCGGGAGGCATTTGGAAACTGAGGTAGGATGGAATTTTGGATCTAGCGGATCCATAGACCAACCTTGTGACTTATGTCCTTGTATCAGAATAAATGTTAGCACAGTGGTACTCAGGAATGTACAGAATTTTCATGTTGGCTCCCTGATACAAGGAGTAAGGCCAAGATGGGTGGAAATGGTAACACACTGAATCTAAGTTTTGAAAAGGACGAGGAAAAAGGAATAAAACTACCCATGTGGAAATGTCAGAAAAGAAAACTAAGTAAAGGTTTGTGAAATAGTTGGTCAACTCATGTTGTAGAAGTAATGAAACAAAAAAAACTGAAAGAGAGAAATGTTTTAGTAAGACATGAAGCTCTAAATTTATTATCGACAAAATGCAATTTTCTAAAAAATGTCAAAATACATGATCAGACAATGAAATTGTGTAGTTGACACATTTGCCTTATACAAAAATCACAGATACGAATGTTAGAATTTTGAAAGCATTCTCCATCTGAAAGTTGAAGTACCAAAGGATGAGGAGATGGATTAGAGACTGAGGTACAGCTCCAACTCCTCAATAAGAGCCTGTAAATAAACAAGAAAGGCGTGTGCTCTGTGTCAAATGGAGTGAGTTTCAAACTCACACAGTTGAATTTAAGGTAAAGAATTAGGTCTGAAAGTTCTGGTCTTTTGTTATTTGAAGTTTTTGAGATGGAGTGATCACCAAGGTGAGGGGATTTCCAAGGATGTGGTGTCATCCGGGGCAAATTAGGTTTCTACTAAGGGATGGGGGATCAGAGAAAGGGAGGGAGGAAGGGAGAATGCAATTAGGCATTTAATGAAGAAGATAAAGATGCAGAGAACTTCTTCCATCATAGCTGAGAGCTCTCCCAGGCACAGGGGAGGGAGCCGTGGATGAAGAATACCTGGGAAGGGGCTCCAGGCCATACAGACAGCCAGTGCACAGCCCAATGGGGACCACACGTGTGACACAGGGAGGACGCGTATGTGGCCGAAGACTGCAAGAAATGTGTGTCAGCTGCCACCTTCCTCTTACCCTGGGGAGACTGCACTGGAACAGACACACACATGCACACCACCACCATCTATTCTCAGTATACTGTGGAGGTGAGCACACCACTCACAGCTGGTAATCCAGCCTTTCTAAATTTGAGACACATCCTGGACCTTCTGAAGGCCCCTTATCTTTTCCCATTCTACTTAAATTACAAGGCAGTTTTCCAGCTTGGTTTCCCTGCAACCATGTCTCCTCATATATGCAGCATTTTATTACTTCTCAGAGATTATGCAGACTAAGTGATGTCTCAGCCCTACCACCCTTACTCCTCTCAATGGGCCCTGGGCCTCTCCACAGACTGTGAGCTGACTACTGCTTTCTGAATTTAGGATACTCTGACTTGGAATCAAAATTTTCTTCCATCCAAATTCAAATAATCTCACAACTAAACCCTGGCAATTTAAAGGAGTACTAATTTGTCTTTCACTTCAGATCTTACAAGTTATACATCCATGATCTTTGACTTGATTCTGGATGTATGGGCAGCCCCTTCTTCCTAACCAAGGAGGCCATGCTCTTAGTCATCCAAAGATGCTGCACTTGAAAGCAAAAGTGTGTGCCACTAATGATTATGCAGAGACAACTGATGTGAACAAGACCCCTCTAGTAGAGTCACTATATTCTTAAGCAACTTAAGAATTCTATGATTTTCCTTTAAAACTTGGGATTCTAGGAGCTCAAGCCATCCACCCAATTATTTGAAGGCTAGGATACCTTATCTAAGTCATTGATCTTTCCCGTGATGGCTACATTAACTTCAATAAAGTGTATCAGCATACAGTATCACCTAAGGACCATGTAGCAACAAACCTGGCTTAGTTCACCTGGGGTTGGGTGGGGCTTCCATACATAGTGGAGTCACAGAGAAATTCTTTTGCAAGGTAACCTTTAAAACATGGCTAAGTCAGGCACAGATCCCCAGGACTTGTCTGGCTCCTCTTGTGTGGACCTCATTAGTGTAGTATCAAGAGCCTAGGACATTTTTTTATTTAGTCTTCATGTTTTGAACTAACTCTAGGTTTTCTCTCAAGTACAGCTCTTAATTCCTCCCACTCAAAATGATAGCATGCCACAGTTTTCCTCAGGGATGCTCAGAATATTACTGTACATTCCTCCTGAAAAGATCACTGTAAGGTCTAATGAGACTACTCTTTTCATCCCCATCTGAACTTCGTAAAACCTTGTGTTCATAAACCATACAGCAATAAATGATGGTAAGTGATGTTAGTGTTTTTTTTAGCATTTAATGTGTACCTGGTGCTGTTCTGGGGTGTGTGCTTGTGCTGCCTCACTCCATCTGCACCAAGTAACAACCACAAATTCACAGGGAAGCTGGGTGAGGACTAGTGGGCTGAAGCCACTTGCTTAAGGACATACAGATAAGGTCTTGGCTATTTTTCCGATTGCTGAGACAGAATACCTGGCACCCAAAGTGTAAAGGGAAAAGATTTATTTTGGTTCAAACTTTGTAGAGGTTTCAGTCCATAATTGGATGGCCTCGAGACAGGGTAGCATGGCAGAGGGGCATCACAGAGGAGAAATAGTCCATGGTGGGCAGAAGGCAGCAATGCAGCAAAGTAAAGAAGCAGCAAATGACAGAAGAAGCCCTCTTCCCATAGTCTAACCAGACTTCACACCCAACCTTCCTATTATTCACACCCGGAACTATGCCAAATCAATCAGCGGACTAGTTTAGTAATCACACATCCTTGATCCCAGGCTCACACATTGTAGTCCCAGCCACCTCTAAAAAGCCCTACCTATGACCACATGAGGCTTTGGGGGACATCCAGACACAGTCATGACAGATGATAAATACTAAGAAGAAGCTTGAGCCCAGGTCTGTAGTACTCAAAACCACCCTTAATTGGAAAATATACATACTAAAAAATATAATGCCAGTTCAATGTTTATAAATTACTTCATTTCTGAACAGAGTTTTCCAAAAGCATTATTAAAAGTTATTATTTACTTTCATTCAAATTGTAAATACAGGCATAGAAGCATGAAAAAGCTTGGAAATTATAGACTCTACCAAAAATTGCTGCTTTTCTTATAGTTTTGCTTTCTCTCCCAAATAATTATCTGTTGCACAAAAATAGATGTAGACAGTAGTTATTCATGTCTAATCAAACCCACAAGATTTTTAATGAAAAAAGCATAGTTAATAAATATCATGAATCCTGAACTTTAACTGCAGGGTAATTTGGAAACAAAAAGAGACGTCCCTCAGACAGTAGATTCAGCTGCAGCAGGCTGCTTGGTGACAGCTGGTTAAAGATTATGTCTGAAGGAGATGTTAACTTCTTACTAATGAAGAAATTAACAGATGCAACTTATATTTGGTTGTGAGTCCATTTTAATTTCTCATGAGAAAAAGAGTATGTGAGTGGAAGGGCCATGAGTTCTACAGAGAGCATAAGCTGTTGAGCTGACTACGATATTAACTTTTGCAGAAAATGGGAGCTTTCTCTGGAGGCCGCCTCTAGGCCAGACATTACAGTTTTGAAATGACACAACATGACCTCATGAATAATTTGGGTTCTAACTTCATGAACTTCAATTACAAAGTTACACAGAGCTCCACAGCATAAGAGCCAGACCTCACTAATTTACATTTCAGTCATGGATAAGAAGAGAAGATAAAGAAATACATGTCATCTGGAAGATGGCAAGGGACATGGTCACGTAATGGACTGGTAGAGTCCATCAGAGCAGTGTGTTTATTAAGACCACTGCTTATTCTCTGTATAAATTGTTTACAAAACTCAAGATGTGACAACAAGAAGTTGTGTTGTGATTTGAAGACTATCTCAGACTTCAGGTTTTCTGAGTGACTTGTTTGTCATTATCCAGGGCAGAATTTAGTGCAGTCGACCACAGGCATGGACAGTGTTTCTGTGCTTGCCTTGAAATTGATCCCATGTTCTCATGTGAAGCGTTTTACATGTGCTAGAGTCTTGGACAGATAAAGCAGTGCTCTCTGTGTGAAATAAGCAGCTGTGCCTTGTGCACTGCACACATAGAGCACAAGCAATTTGTACCAATTGTTCCAAACTCACTTTGCTTCTGAATGCACTCGTCTTGGGAATATGTGTGCACACGCATGGAGAGAGAGCATTTGTGTGGTTTGTTCTGTCTTTACTATGTATCCTTGGCTTTATCCTGGCTTTGAAATTGTGACAGACATATATGTGGCCAGCACTGGCGTATATAATTCAGTGGAAAACAAAACGTAAAAGCTCATTCTTTATCAAAATGTTAATGGCTTTCTCCTACACTTTTGTTTTTTCTGCTGAAATAAAATTTCTCTGTGGATTTTTTATGTTGCTTCAACCATTAGACTTTGTAATATTTTCTTTTATTTTCCCAATTCATCCAGGCATAAGATTGTGAGTGGAATTTTTCTCAATATCCTGAAATATTCTTTCTCACGTACTTTCAGTTATCTCCAAAGAAAGTGTTCAAGAAACCAGTGGGGTGTGTCTCCAGCAGAGCAGGGCACAAAAGACCTGAAAGAGCACACTGCCCATAAGAAGTAAAGAGTGAAGCTTATCTTATAGTTTTATGGGTAGATATTTTAAATGTTAAAGGATGCATATAACAAAAACATCTATTTTTGTGTCTTTCAGTTTTTCTTTTTAAAAAGCTTACATCGGGCATTGACGTGAGAAAGTTTACATTGGGCATGTCAGCTTCAACTTAGGGGAAAATCTGAAAATATGATATTTCCATATTTCGACCTATCCTGAGCTCATGGGAGTGAAATATGATGGCTCCTCCTAAGCTGAAGATGGAAAAATGCCCACTGCCCTATCAGGGGAAAGAGTAATGAGTGCATAGCCACTAAGTTTAAGACCTTCGTCTCCAGTTGAGTTCTTGGTGGATCAATATCTCTGAATGCTTATATAAAGGCCTGTGGTTGTCTCTAAGAAACCGTATGTGGGAGACAATACTAAACAAATGTGAACATGCACAGAATGGATCCTTGCAGTCTAAGTGGGACAGCAAAGGGAAGCCACAGGGGGCCTCCATGAGATTGAAGCATGTGAGGCAGGAGCATACTCAGAATCATTCTTACATACTCCAGGGGGAAACTACTCTTGTACCACTATATACCAATGTTTATATTAAAAAAAAAAAAAAAACCTACAGCCAAGAGCTAATTCAGAAGCAAGAAAACTAAAAAAATGAGATGGTAGAATTTTATTTGGGGGACTATAGTATATAAATGGGTATTTTTCAAGAAGAGCTTTACAGTCATTTTTATAAGCTCAGGCATCAGCAATCGTGTTGGAGAAGGAGAATGGGTAGGAAATGTTTTCCTCACATCTAGACACAGAAAAGTCATCTTTCTGACAACTGACTACCTATTTTGTTGAAAGCATGGTGTTTTACAAGGACTTTTAAAGGAATGAAATTTGATCTCAGACAATGTCACTTGATATATTGGATACATTTAATTTTCAATTAAAATTTTCTTTCATTTCAAACTATTAATAGGTATTTTTATAGATAACAAGGCAAATGTACTATGGAAGATATGCAAATATGTTTACCAGCACTATTTAGTTATTGAGAAGATGTAACAGATAAGTTAAGAAAATACTTTGGCTCTACCTTGACAAAACTACCTATGAAGCAATTTTCGCAAAAACAAAATGTTTTTCCCAACTTTTCCCTTCTTTTCTTCCTTCTTTCCTTCTTTCCTAACTTGAAAGCTTATAACTATCTGTTTAAAATACCTTATACTTTCATATTTATTTTTATTATACTTTTGTAATTACAGTAGTCCGTCCCCTACATAAAGCAGGTGAAATGATTCACTGAATTAATTCAGAACTTCTCTTGGTTAAACTGGATGCCTTTTCTTCAGATTAAAAACTCTTCTAACCTCAGGTAACCTTGAAGTCAGGTCACTTTCTCAACACAGTAAATTCATGTTTATGCTCAGTGTTGAGAGGAAGCTGAAATCCATCTTCATTTTGCACAGATGTTGTTAGACACACCATTTCTAAACATCTAACAGCCTCACGTTTTGTTCTTGCTTTCCAAATAATGTTACTATGTGTCATCATGGACCGTGTTGCTATGTGCTGGATGCGTTCTCCAAGAGAACATATTTGAGCACGAAGAGCCTTCTTTCCTGGGAGTGGGAAACTTCAAAATCCTTGTGGCTGAAAATACGAAGGACACAGAGCCTGGCTGCCAGAGCAGATGGTAAGATATGCCCTGCCTGTCTCCAAGCCCTGCCCCTACTCACGGTGGAACATAAGTAATCTCCAGGAAGTACAGTCTGTTGTCACGGAATTAACACGTCTGAGGTTTTCATCGTTTAATGTACTGCTGCATTCGGCAGAGAGAAGTGGTTTAAAAATCCAACAACCATGTTAAGGTTCATTTTTCTGGCGAGTAAAGGCACTGGCCAACTACAAATTCTTTATCTGTAAAATGAAGAGATACGTGAAGTCCTGGTTTCCTGACAATATTGCTAAGACTGATTCGCATTTCCAACTAATGCTGAAGACTCGAGGTATAGTTAGAGAAATAACAATAGGAATTTTTTAAGGCATACTTTGATGGAAAATGTCTTTAATCCTGTAAAAAAAAAAATACTCAGAGCCCATTACCGATCACCCTTCCTGAGGACAAAGAGAGCTTCTAATATGGTAAATGCCGTTGTTTATAGTCTTAACAAAAAATAGAACGTAGTTCTCTGGCTTCACCAGGGCAGACAGCTAGATTTGTTCCAAATTCTACAACTCACTGTTTTTCTGCGCCTAAAACCATCTTCCCTCTTCACATAATCCTGGAGAACATTATGTAATTATTGTTATGCAAAAGAAAATAGATTCAGCCCTCAGAAGTCGCTCATGCAGTGAAGATCTTAGTGAGATTTGCAAACCCCGCCCTGCGGCGGCGGCGCTGGGCCGGCGGCGGGCAGAGCTGCGGACTGTGCTTTCCGCGCGAGATG